CCTCTTCACGCCCCGCTTGCCGGCGCTACCCCGTCACCCCATCCCCCCCCTTCTCAACCCCGTCACCCCATCCCCCCCCCTTCTCAACCCCGTCACCCCATCCCCCCCCCTTCTCAACCCCGTCACCCCATCCCCCCCCCTTCTCAACCCCGTACAGGCCCAGGCGGAGTCCCAGTCCGCAGCGGACAAGGCTGACGCCCTGCGGGCCATGCAGCTCAGTCGCGACAGGGCCATCCTCACGAAACGTATTGTGGGCAGTCAGAGGGACGAGGCGCAGATAAAGTCCAAGGTGGGTGGGGAGGGGTTGGCCGTGTGGAGGTGCGTAGTGACATGGGGGAGTGGGGGAATGGGTATCCGGGTGGTACATATATGTATGACGTTGATTACACTGTGGGCTGAAAAGCCGGGGGCCCAGGGCCGAAGCACAGCGCGGGGGGCGGGTGCATACGGCTGGTTAGTCTCATGCACTCCGCCCCCGGGTCAGGCCGCACGGGAAACGACGGCCGGCACGCAACAGCGCTTGTTTGGCGCTCCAACTAGACGGGATCTATGCCCGTTGGTCTCCTAACATAAACGAAGTCGCAACTGGGGGGCTCTTCCTGCCGACCGAACGAACCGAGCATCTCAGAGAGCTCGCTACCAGGACTTGGGCGACCGGGAGCCCGACGAGTCTTCCCGGGCTGGGGAGGTCACCAAGCTCAAAAATCCTCACGCAAAAAAGAGCGCAAAGAGCTCACACCACAAGACGCCAAACAGCCTCCTGAGACTACTACCCTCCTCCGCCTCTCCCTCCCTGGGCTAGTCCAGGGGAGATAGCCCCCGTCGAGGGGGTAACACCGCACAAGTCCGCGCCCTTCCACAGCACTGGGTCTAAATTGAAAAGTACTCAAACGGGAAGACCCTGCGGCAACGCCGGGCGATCAAGCCTCCGGAAACCACAGGGGGGGAGGGTAGCCAGCTCGGCGCCCCCCCAATACCGCTCTACCAAGACGGCTGTTCCCAAGATCCTATCTCACCTAGACGC